AAAAAAAAAAAAAAAAAAAAAAAAAAAAAAAAAAAAAAAAAAAAAAAAAAAAAAAAAAAAATCACGTTAGATATTGTTAGGCTATCCACTACAAGAGTTAGGGTGGTATTCCTTGGTGTTTTAAATTCACCACAATCTTATTCATATATTTAAAGTTAACTCACAAGACAGATATGGAAGCACACAGGATTTAATCACTTAAAAACAACATGCGGTTTGGATGTGGTAGGCATTTTCATCCTATTATGCTGAAGAGCCATTTGAGACTCTGTAAGACAACTTTAGGAAGTCAATCTTAAGTCAGAATGACAAAAACTTTCTTCCTGTTTTTGAAGATTTCTACATTTTTTATGGCCCAAAAAGATTTAATCCAAGGCAAAATATTAATTTAGGAAAGTGGACAGAATGTCTAACACTCTAGCATTAGGATCGGACAAATTATTCTTTATAATAGGAGTCCTCATTACATTATGTTCTTTGTTTTTCATTTTTAACTTTCTCCTTCGGACCAGAACATTATGTTCTTAACCCTTCAAAGGTTCCTTATTATCTTCTGGATTCAAATTTCAAACTATTGCAGTTACTGGCTTCCTATTCTCACTTATCAAAGTCTCTTAAATCTGGTTTTCATCTTTTGACAAACTTGTCAGACATGTTTGATATATCAGTATAAAATTCCCTCTAGGAGTTTTAGCTTTATGTCCAAGCTCTTCCTCATTGCCCTATTTGCCCTTGACGCTCCTCTAGGTAAACTTCTGTAAGCTTCAACTGCCCATTTGCATAATTAGTATTTCTTATTAATCCAACTAATGGATGCTGTCCTTTACTAAGGAGGAGAATACAACCTGTTCCCAACTTTAAGGTTACCTTCTTTTCTTTCAGTTTTGTACATTTGTTTGTTTTGGGACATAATCGTTATATCCAAATACTATCTTGAGAGGGTATATGATTTGATTTGGTATATCTGAACCTACGTAATTATCACATGAAATGCTATAGCCATATGAGATAGTGGGTATATATATCACTGTCCAGTGCTATCGCCTGTCCAGGAAACTAGAAAGCTGCAAGTAGATAAATTACTGTTCAGAGACCGCTGAACATTGACCCTGTTTTCTACGTCCTTGGAGGAGGTGTGGCTATGATGACACTGAATTTGGCTCAAGGTCCAGGAGAACCTTATATCTATACTTATTTCCACAAAGAAGTGCATACATTGCTAATGCAAATTCTTCCATAATAATGATATAAGCTTAAGTTGTCCAGATTTGATGAGACCCACATCTTGTATATACTACATCATCTACTGCCTCTGTTAGGGACCCTGGGGGAAAAAGGAAACTATATTAAGAAATGCAGCATCTGTTTCTCCCTATGTGACCACCCTATTTCCAAGAAGTTTCTGTATCCTTGGCTGAAGTGTACTGCGTGTATGTGTATGTATGTACACTCTTCTACATCAATTTGTAAGTCATCTGAAATGCTGCAGATGTTTCAAAAGAATTCCACCATACTTGCTTACTTTAAATTTTGAAACAAGCAAATAGCTAAAGCCAAAAACACTTGACAGAGCTAAGTAATTAATAACTTATCAGCACAATTTAAGATTGTGCTTTTTAGGATGGGCAGAGATTGGTTAATGGATACAAAATTATAGCTAGATAGGACGAATGACTTCTGGTGTTCTGCAGCACTGTAGGATGAATATGGCTAACTATAATTTATTGTATACTTTCAAAAATCTAGAATAAAGGATTTTAAATGTTCACAACACAAATAACAAATGTTTGGGATAATGCTTATCTGGTTTGATTGTTATACATTGTATACAGTATAAAACTATCACTCTGTATCCCACAAATATGTAAAATTATTATTATTTTAAAAATAAAAGGGGAGGAAAAAAGATTGTGCTTCTTGTCCCTTCTGGTTCATTTGTCTATTACTATTCTTTCTCACTTTTTTTTTTTTGAGATAGGGTGTTGCTCTGTTGCCCAGGTTGAAGTGCAGTAGTGCCATCGAGGCTCACTGCTGCCTCGACCTCCTGGTCTCAAGCAATCTTCCAGCCTCGGCCTCCCAAGTAGCTAGGACCATAGGCACAGGTCACCATACCTGGCTACTTATGTGTATTTTTTGTAGGGAAGAGGTCTTACTATGTTGCCCAGGCTGGCCTCCAATTCCTGGGTTCAGGCAATTCACCCGACTAGGCCTCCTAACGGGCTGGGATTATAGGTGTGAGCCACTGCACTCAGCCTTTCAATCTGAAAAAGGAAACAAAATTGGCCGGGTACAGTGGCTCACGCCTATAATCCCAGCACTTTGGGAGGCCAAGGCAGGTGGATCACGAGGTTAGGAGATCAAGACCATCCTGGCCAACATGGTGAAACCCTGTCTCTACTAAAAATACAAAAAATTAGCCGGCGTGGTGGTGCACACCTGTAGTCCCAGCTACTTGGGAAGTTGAGGCAGGAGAATCACTTGAACCTGGGAGGCGGATGTTGCAGTGAGCCGAGATTGCGCCACTGCATTTCAGTCTGCGTGACAAAGCGAGACTGTGTCTCAAAAAAAAAAAAAAAAGGGAAACAAAATTAAACACATACCCATTTTGGGAAGAAGTTCTTTATCAGCTCCCTTGAAAAAGCACACATAGATCACCAATCCTCTCTGAACCTATGAGAAATCACCACAGAAAACTCAGATTACAAAGATATCTACAAAGATACAGTGCTAAATGAGTAAAATTTCACAGCTATTAATACTATAGACATAGAGGTTAAAAGCACAGAAAATGAACTTTACAAAAGATTTCTCATGTGAAAAAAACAAAATATTTTTCAAGTTCCAATAATCTCAGTTATTTCTTTCAAAAATTAAGTTTAAAATACAGCCAAGAGGAGTGAAGACAAGTTATACCGTCAAACATTTATTTCTAATCAACATCATTAAGACTATCAACCAGCCATTTCCTCAGTAAGTAAGGCTGACAAAGACTAAGAAACATTTTGTTTGATACACCCCATTTACTCAATGCCTAGTGAATTCACATACCAGATACAGCTGATAAACAACATGTGACTGATGTCTTTTGACATCATCTCTCTTTCCCCTAATCCACTTACTTACTGATAATGAAAATAAGGGTCTGATTCTATTTCTATAAACTCCAGGAATCTGTCCAATTATTTGTTGTTGTTGTTAATGCTTTAAATAAACATGATTAGGACTTGAAAATTGCATTTGTGATAATAAGGTCTAATTTAAAAGGTTGGTTGTTATCAGGAAAATAGGCTTATTTGTTTTACATAATGACCTGGATATTTCTTAGATCATGTAGGACAGAGACTACACAGAAAAGAGACACTTGAATAGTGACTTTGATTCTGCTTCTGAGTGAATCATTAGATTTTTTGATTCTGTAAATTAACCTTGACTCCAGGAGCTATTAGGACGATTAAATGAGTTAATATTTATAAAGTACTTCAAAAACAGTGCCTGGTTCATAGTAAGTGCTGTATTAGTGTTTATTAAATGAGTATGTAAAAATAAATTTAAGGGCAGAGGCACAATTTATTTCACATTTTAACTTCCAAAGCACTTTACAGGCTGTTTTGTACATGATAGGGATTCAATTTATCTGTTGATTACATTAACATTCAACTATATGTTCTAGGCTCTATGAGTTATCTCAAGAATTTTCTAGATAAATGTAAATACAGCTCTGCACTCACACTTGATTTACCTGGAACATAACTGAGTTTTAAAAAATGCAATTGTGCTACTGAAACAATAGGCAAGGGCCTTCATTGTATACCCTTAAGAAGCTGGCAAGTTATTACAGATATTTGCACTACTGTCATAGGCCTCTTCACTAATATTGTTTTCATCATGAATCAAAATCTTAAGCATATTTACATATGGACACATGCAATGTCAGAATTAAATACCTAATCATTTGCAGAAAGATACCTGTTCTTTCCGCTTACCACATTATCTCATTAAGGTATTTGCCTTTCATTTATTCCATAATAGATCTTAAGTTGTGACTTCAAGTCAAAAATCACTCTCCTTATAACTTATATATATATTATAAAACATTTCAAATATATAGAAAAACACAGAATTCTCACTCTATCTTTAAAAAGTTCACTTACCAGGAAGAAAAGCATTAGTCTGTGACAGCAAAGTTCTAAATGAGTGAAACTAAGAACAAGCAAAGAAAACAACCTTCAAATGTTGACAAAACGCTGCTTCTAAAAACACAAGAACTTTTAATAATAGAGCAGGGTAGAGAAGATGTAAGAGGAAAGACCTTATATTTTCTCAACATCTAAATTACTTGTCAGCTCTTTAAACTAATTTAGTCGCCGGGCGCAGTGGCTCAAGCCTGTAATCCCAGCACTTTGGGAGGCCGAGGCGGGTGGATCACAAGGTCAAGAGATCGAGACCATCCTGGTCAACATGGTGAAACCCCGTCTCTACTAAAACTACAAGAAAATTAGCTGGGCATGGTGGCGCTTGCCTGTAATCCCAGCTACTCAGGAGGCTGAGGCAGGAGAATTGCCTGAACCCAGGAGGCGGAGGTTGCGGTGAGCCGAGATCGTGCCATTGCACTCCAGCCTGGGCAACAAGAGCGAAACTCCGAAAAAAAAAAAAAAAAAAAAAACCTAATTTAGTCATGTGTAGGAGTGAAAGGGAAAGCCTTTAAAATAGTTTTTAAGTTTATAAACACAAACTGATAGTTTGGATGCCTGCAATAAAATGTCCGTGATTTTGCATAAGGAGATGTAGCCTGAAGAACATAAAAAAGATAAATAAGCATGGAAGGAAACTAAATGACTGATAGTTTGGAATTTATGGTGTCTGGAGGCAGCTATAAAAATGGATAATCACTTTATTTATTTTTGAGAGGAGGTCTCACTCTGTGGTTCAGGCTGGAGTGCAATGACATGATCTCTGCTCACTGCAACCTCTGCCTCCTGGGTTCAAGCAATTCTCCTGCCTTAGCCTCCTGAGAGTTGGCATTACAGGTGCATGCCATGACGCCCAGCTAATTTTTGTATTTTTAGTAGAGATGGGATTTCACCATGTTGGCCAGGCTGGTCTTGAACTCCTGACCTAAAGTGATCCACTGGCCTCCCAAAGTGCTGGGATTATTGCACCTGGCCAGTTAATTCTTTAGATAGGATCGCAAAATAAAAGAATAAAATTTCAAATAAAGAAGATAAATCAAGACCTCACAAAAAATCATGACAAAAATAAGAAATAAGAAAAGTGAATTTCTGGGAAAGAAAGAGATAAGAATACTGTACAGGAATTTCTACCATTATATTTCCAAATTAGCACAGGGGAGCCGATTCTGATTTTAGAATGATTGCTCACACATCATACAGTTCATGGGTGCTATTTAAAATAATAAGTAAGCCAAGGGCAGTAGCTCAGGCCTGTAATCCCAGCACTTTGGGAGGCTGAAGCAAGTGGCTCACCTGAGGTCAGGAGTTCGAGATCAGCCTTCCCAAAATGGCAAAACCCGTCTCTACTAAAAATACAAAAATTAGCTGGGCGTGGTAGCTCACGCCTGTAGTTTGAAAATTGTTTGAACTCGGGGGCGGGGGAGGGGGTAGGGGCAGAGGTAGCAGTGAACTGAGATCCTGCCACTGCACTGCAGCCTGGGTGACGGAGCAAAACTCCGTCTCTAAATAAATAAATAAATAAAATGAATATAAAATAATAACTGAAATTGTTTTAAGAAATGCTAGATCTAGGATTGAAATCAACAGAAAAGATGAGCGAAGAAATTTTGCTACACTGAAGTTTCTGAGTACCTACAAAAGTCTTAATTATGAACTAATTTTTTTTCTTACATTTCAGTGTACTCCAAAAATATGTCAGAAGCCTTAAAGAAAATTTTGTTTTTGTATGCAGTGGGGGCAGGCTGTCTTAAAAAGTAAAGTATGCATGAAAGTCGAAGGAACTCACAGTCACATAAATGTTTTAAATTCTTTGGAGAGATGTGTTTGATGACATGTAACATTGTTACAACAATGGTCTTTGTTTCTCAGTTGGAAATCGGTCAAAATTTTAAAAAGGTTTCTTGAAATAGAATTTTTTTTTTAGGAAATCTCATTTCTATGCTAAGACCAAGTCAACCTAAGGAGGAATTCGACACGATCTGAGAAGAATAAGTAAATGCAGATCACGAACTCTTGCAGCAAACCTGACCTACTAGCCTGCCCCTGACCAGCAGAGGCCACGAGCTTCAAGCGTTCCGGGACATGAAGCCTGAAGTCCACCGAGCTCAGTTTCATATCCTCGTGGTCCCCCCAAGCAGGGAAACGCGCTCTTCTCGGGGGCTACGACTGGCGCTGGGGAACGGTGGTGCAGGACAGAAAAGGCAAGCGCAGCCAGGCAGGCCACTGCGGGCAGCGTCGGGCTGACCTGGCAACTCTGCGGCCGGACCGCGGGTCTGAGAGAGAGACGCGGAGGGGACGAATTACCGAGACAACGCGGAGAAAAACCGCCTCGCACGCCGGAGGATAACAAGAGCGGCCGGGCTAACGTTACCTCCACCCATTGGGCCGCGGCGTCCCCATCGGCTGGGCGAATTTGCAACCGGGCGTGCAGGCACTGCTGCAGGAGCGCCCGGGCCTGTAGTATACGGCTGCCCTCAGCCATAGCTTAAGCCCCCGCAGCTTCCGGACAGTTACGAGGCCTCGTGCTACAGGCTCCTCCCACGACGCGCAGGCGGGGTAGACGGGGCGGGGCGCGATGAAGGGACTGCGCCAATCTCCCAGTGGCCCCGCCTTGGGGCGGGGCCTCTGCCTAAGTCTCTGTTGTCCCGGATGTGCGGTCTTGTGGCCGGCGTAGCGCTAATCTCCGCAGAACCTGCTGGAGTCTGTAGCAGGCGCTCCGTGTATACTTTTAAATGATTGAAAAGACTCGTTAGATCTCTTTCCTACACACCTTTTAAGAAACAGTTTTCACCTCAGAAAGCTTAGGTTCCAACTGTTGAAAAATTTTAAATCTGCTTGATTTAAATTCATATGCCCATTATGAAGGTAAGTAAACAGTCGAATCAGAAAGCAAGCAGAGATGGAACTAAAAGCTCTATGTACACATCTTTCAAAATTTTCCTTATCCCAATCAATAAAAATCCTGCCTCCTGTATCGAGAATGCCATAAATCATTCTGATTCCACAGTTGTGAAAAGGTATTGGTATGCTATGTGAATTCAAATCATGGTGTTGATATACCAAGGTATTTCTGTGCTATACGAATACACAGTCTTTAGATCATTTTTTAGAAGATATCCTTGTTAAAAATAGTCTTGTCCAAGAAAGTGTAATTGTTAATAGGTAAAATAAAACAGCTTATTCTGATGTATATCATGTAAATTCTGTGATTCATTTTCTGGAAGTACATATTAGAATGTAAGTAAAACTAAACAAGGGCTCGATTTTCTTTCCCATGTAGCGTATTCCGTGAACATGCATCAGATTAGCATTTATTTTTCTATGGAGTTGGATGGTTTAGACGAGGAATAATAGCGTTACCCTAATTGCATTACTCAGGTCATTGATTTGGGCTCAGTTGGCACAATGTGCCTATACATTCTGGTCTGTTGTTTAAAAAGATGACATCACTGACAGTGTTGCTATCCATACAAAGTAGTGTGACTGAAGAAAATAATCCATGCATAATCAACAGTCCTTTGTACACAAAATTGAAGCTGCTTGTTTGCTGATTATCTTGCAGCCAGGCTTACACTTTTACTAAAAACAGAAAGCAAAATCTCACATCTCTGATTGTTGCATTGCAGGGTTTCCAACATTTGTTGACATTTGTCTGCAAAGCACAGACAAGTTGAATTGCTTCATGTCTGCACCTTTATGTCATTATAACAATTGAGTCTCTTTTCTCTCCGTGTCTCAGATTCTGATTTTACAGGCCTGGAAGAAACTTTGACATACAGACCCTTAGCTATGTCCCAGAATAAGAGAAGAGTTTGGTGTCCATTCATATGTGGATGCAGGAAATAGGGAGGGCTATTGAAAATAGGGTATATGGTTCACAGAGATCTTTCTACAGTGATGGTGTCTTTAACAAATTGGGAAACCCTTCCTGTGAGTAGAATAGATGGAGTTGGATGGTAATGGTTAGCTTCTCAAAAATCACCAATTACTTTAAACCTTCCTGTTGAGTGAGGATCTCGTGGACATTGCTGTAGGTACTGTAATAGGCTGTGGCTCAGTTATTCTTTACTTCTATTTGCAGAAGGTGATAGAGAGTAGCCACCAAAGATAGCATTTCCTTTCTGTATTTTATGTTTTGAACACTTAGTTTCATTCTACACATAATTTAAGAAGGACATGCATGCAATAAAATAGTAAAAATGTGAATTAAAGCATTAGGAATAAAGAAAATAGAATTATGTCAGTAAGCCACAATGGGGGAAATTGAAAACAGATAAGGCAGTGGTTCTCAACTGGAGTGCTGAAATGATATAGTATGCAGCAAAGTTTTTACAAATATACAACTTTAATTTTTGTTATGAAACGGTTATGTTCATTATGCGTAATATTAAAGTGCTGCAGGTTGTACAATTTGCTTCAAGTTGGAATGAAAGGCAAAGCATATCATTAACTTGGCTTTTGAAGGAGATGGTTGTTCACTGGAATGTAAGAGAGCTTTGCCTTGTGATTGTATAGGAAATTATTGAGCAGAGATAATTCTGAAACACCTACAATGCTGAAAAGGTACCATATGGATAGGGGATAATTGTGGATGGGTTCTAGGTCATCTGAGATGGTATAATAATTAATTTAGAGTTATCTTATTTAATTCATTTAAGTTGGCTGCCCTAAACTCTGACATTCAAAGTATTTCACAAACATGAAAAGTTTGAGAACCACTTCTAAAAGATGCCTTAGAGTTGATGCTAAGCTTCCTGATTGTAAATAGGAGAGGATAGGGAAGGGAAGTATAATCTGTTTCATAGTTCTAGGGATAAGCAGAGATTTTCCATAAATTTAGCTCTAAACTGAGCCTTTTACCTGAGACTTTATATAGGGATATGTTAATAAATAAAGTGCAACTGGAAGAGGTAGGTATTTTATCTTAGGGAAGGCTGGATCTAGCCTTCTAGTTCAAAGCCCAGATATATATATATATTTTTTTTTCATTGCTTAGGGAGATGACTAGGATCTGAGAAATTGGTTAACATTAACTAAAATGCACATTAGATTGGGTTGGAACCAGAATACTAATCTAGTCGTTTATAAAAAGAAATATTGCCATGACATGTAGTAGAAATTCCCACACAGGGCATGATCAGCATGTTTCCCCCTGTGGTTAAGCATAGGAGCTAGATAATATTCACAAGTCTCTTTATTAACTATGAGAAATACTCAAAATCGATATGATCAGCATTTTTTTTTTTTTTTTTTTTTTTTTTT